GGCTGGAAAGGTGCCAGGCAGAAAAGGACCTGGGGGTGTTGGTGGACAGCAAGATGACCATGAGCCAGCAATGGCCAAGAAGGCCAATGGCATCCTGGGGTGTATCAGATTTTGACAACCTTGGAACTAGCTTCAGAGCCAGATGATCTCAGTACAGAAGGTTAACGCCAAAAGGAGGTTTTCAGCAACTCCTCCTGCTCCTTGCAAGATATACATTTGTTTCTACAGTGACCTCTTCCCAGATGATCTTGGCACCTAGAGGTCCAAATAAAAGTGGTGCCAGTAAATGGAACTGTGACATCAGCTACTACAGCTGCTCATAACTGCACTAGTAACTGTTTCCCAACTCTGACTGCATACCTGAGGCCCTTTAGGGTTGTTGTTGAACTCTTCTACCACATCCATTCTCTGTTTAGGATTGACAGAGCCATCCACTGTTGCATACTTCAGCCCTAGTCGCTGGAGGTGCACAGCCACAACTTTCAACATACTTGTCCACTGAGATACAACAACACTGGAGACAGAGAAAAAGGAGTTTAGAACAGGTGGTGTGTACTGCAACAGTTTGTTTATTGCAGATTCTCACCAAAGAGGAGACAATGATTCACAGACACTATTGCCCATTGAAACTGGAGCCAAGTTCCTTCCCAATTAAGAAATAGAGTCACCTGTATGGCAGAACCTGCTGTGGAAGGCAAATATCCAATAAGCTTCAGGCTAATTCAATCTATGCCTTTTACCTCTATTTCTGGATTTTACATTGCCACCTAGGAACCTAGTTTGTTTTTTTGGTGTGGTTTTTGTTTGTTTGGTTTTGGTTTTGTTTTGGTTTTTTGTGGGGTGGGTTGCAGAGCTGAGGGCAAATATTTCTCAGTGCAACCAAATTCTTTGCAATTTTGTTTTTGGAGAAAACAAAAATCTTCCTGGGCCTCAAAGCCTGAGATTCCTCACACATTCTCCTATATTTACACTTACTTTGTAAACTACCATCTTCAGTCTTAGATTTTTTTTTTCTCTCACAATCAGCTTTCAACTATTCAAGTACTTCCACCATTTTACCATACCAGAAGTTTTGTATTCAATTGTTTTAAACAATTTCTGCTGCTGTTAAGAGATGTGCTTCTCAATCACTATGACTAAAGAAAGAGGCACGCTACTAGCCTTTTCTGCAACTCCGAGTGACCTTGAAGAGCTTTCAGTTCAGCCAAGAGGTGAGTTATCTGCAGAGGAAAAAAAGAAGTTAGTCTGCTTGCTGTCATAACCCAGCTCATACTTGGCTATTCTTCACTAAAATCAGAAGTGAATGATCAAAATAATTCTTCAACCAGAATTTCTTCTATGCTCAGACTTTCAAGATATTTTAACACTCATTAGTAGAACGCTCCCACCATGGAAAACAGTTTTAAAAAAATCAAATCATACAAAACATTTTATAGATTCCGACCTTCCTGTATGAAGCCAAGTTATTGCCACCTCTCCTTTTGCTGTCATCCCATTTTTCTAGCTCTTCACAAGCACCATGCTCTCACATGCAATTTGTTCTAAACTTCTGCAAATCTAGTGCTCAAGATTTTCTCTGACAGTTTATCAGCACACTCAGAATCTCACAGCTTTATTAGAAGTACCCATCAACACCTGATCAGTCAAAGCCTTCCCAGAAGGAGTTCAGCAGACTATCAGTATATTCTCCTGATTTAATCTAAATTGCCAGCTTAGCCTGATCTGCAATTACCAAGGTGTGATAATTCATTAACAGCTTAAAAAAGGCAGAGTGCTGAAATGCAAGCTTCTCAAGCAAGGTCAGAAAACCACAACCACAATACCTTGGTGCTCTCCCTGGTGATTTCAAAGAGATCTGTTTTAAAAGCTGTGCCATTGAGGGAGACTGTTAATTTGGAATCAGGAGTCTGGAGCTCAGACAGGGTCAAAGCATTAAGTTGCTCCTCAATGGAGAGGGAAAGGCCTTCACTGTTCAAGTTCACTTGGTCCAGAGCCTGCAGGAAAGAAAGCGATATAATAAGGGAACACAGTCAAATTCAGTACTGATCCAGTCTGCACAATGTTTGCTGAGGACAGCGAGTTTGAAGGAAGCTATGTTATACAATATGAAGACAATGATTAAGAAACACCCTTTGGCCCCTTATTTTGCCTCAAGAA